CTCCTCACCCTCACGGACAACAGAACCTTTTTGGGGCTCCTGCCACCAGGTCCATTGTCTGTGGGCAAGAAGATGTCATTCAAGCCTCTCCAGAAGGCTGTTGCATGGGAGCTTATGTCACACTGGTGTTTAGTGAAAAACCCTGTAAGTGGTTTGTCAATTGGAAATGTTGCGAGGCATGTAATTATGTGATGCTAACATTCTTGCACTTACTTTCTACACATCATGACTATTACTCTAATCTACCTAATAAGTAACTTTTATGCTATTCCCAACCCTCCTTTATGCATGACAATTCCTCCCAACCTTACTCTTGCCATAGTGGCATTTTGTTTCTTATAGCAAGGAAACCTCAGCTGCTGGGGTATTTGCAAAAGAATCTCACTGCATCAAGAAGTTTATCTGAAAATAGCAGGGATCCATCCAGTACAATGCAGATTCAATTAATTGAAAAGCAAGTAAACGGAATCTCAGAGAAAAATGTATCATTCAAATTGGATATAATTGTTTCCATTGAAAATGCACCGAATAAGCTCTAGAATATGGGCAAAAACTCAGAAGTTTAAACAGGGGAGGAGGGGGAAGTAATCATTAGGATAATATGGGGTACCATGGGAATAGCATGAAAAAATGAAATGAAACAAAATGATGGCAGTGCCACTTTAAGCTATTGAAAGGATATAGCCAGGAATTTGGAAGCTCATAAAATGTATGTGATAACATGGTATCTTTATAGCAATAGACCATTCATTATTTCAATTTTCTATAAATATGTTATATAATTTGTAATATGATATTGGTATAAACTAATTTTATTTTTTGTATATTTAGCACTTACAGTGTTCTCACCCTATGGAGACGGATGGGCAAGTCAGCTTTTAGGTATTGACCTAAAGAGAAATATCATGGTTCGCTGGAAAAGGCATACCAGACCATTTCTTAGTGGCTCATACCAGTCTTTTAGAGAAGAACGGACAATCCCTCGAGAAATTGACTTAATTGGAGGTCATAAGAACACAGTGATTGTGCTTAATATTGGTGTGCATTTCAGACCTCACCCACTCCATCTGTACATTAGAAGAATCATTAACATTCAAAGAGCTCTGAAGCGTCTGTTCCTAAGAAGTCCAGAAACCAAAGTAATTATTAAGACTGAACATTCTGGTGAGAATGAAAAAGCATTTGAACTAAACAGTAGCTTTCATGGCTATGTGCAATATTTAATCATGGAACAGATCTTTAAAGATCTAAATGTTGGCTTTGTTAATGCGTGGGATATGACAAACGCATTCAATTCAAATATAATTCACCCTCCAAATACATATATTCAGCATGAAGTGGATATGCTAATGACTTATATTTGCTGATGGCAGTAGTAAGAATCCACCATAACTCTGCAGAATATAAGCTATTTATAAATGGAATAGATCTCAAAAATGTTTTGCAATAAATAATGTAAAAATGTGAAAATAAATACATTTAATGTAAAAAAAGTTAAAATTACTTCTGTTCCTGATACATCTTGATCTGCATTAACAAGCAGAGAAGAAATGACTGAATGCATTCACTAACATATTTTGTAAAAATTAGGCAAAGAAGATGGTCATATGATTTACAACAACGACTAAAATGTAAATTCCAAAACTATAGTGCTCTAATCTAACAACAAAACAAAAATATGTGAGTGTGTATAGTGGATGCAGAGTGTGCATAAATGTATGGGGTAGATAGGATTGGAGCTGTGTTCTGTGGGGGCTGAGTAGTTTCTTTTTATATTAGTTTATATATATAATATTTTTTTTTTGTCCCCCTCCACTACTTTTCCTGGTGGTCCAATGATGCTGTGCAAGGTCCTAGCTGTTTTGTATACTGAAAGGGGACGCAGACGACTCCAGCTTATACCACAAGCTGGTCCTCTCCTTCTCTTGCAAGTCATAATTGTGCAGTGCTGCAGTGTTGTCATGACAACCAGCTCTAACAGGCTGGACTTGCAGGAAGTTGAAAAGAGAGAGAGTTAGAGTGAGAGAAAGAGATTGTGTGTGTGCGTGCATGCGCGCACACTCCAGTACTCTGACTGAGTACCTCTGCTCAGTCTTCTTCCTAGCTGCTTTTAGGTACCCAGGAAAGCTTCAGCCTCATTCACTACAGCTTGATTGGAGTCTCTCAGAAATTCTTCCAACCGACCATGTTGCAGTTCCCTTCCTCCAGGCAAGTATTGTCACCTCTGCCTTACCATTTCTTCAGGTCATATCCATGTCTGCCTGTATTGTGTTTGCAAATGCACTTGTGGCTCTCAGGCCTAGCTCTCTTTTTTAATAACTACACATTATACCGGCACTCACTCAAATCCTCGGTTCTGGTATCTTTATTGCTGGGTTTCTTATATTCTGTCCCTGGATTTCCCAGTCTCTTGGATTCACTTAAATGTTTGTTTTATGTTGCCACACCCGTTTGTTTCAGCTTGGACCTGCAGCAGTGTTTCATGTCTCTGCCCTTCCTTGCAGGTAAGTGCTATTGTGGTTTAGTGTGGCTGTTTTAGCATACATTAGGCAGTGTAGGACCTGCCAGATATGGGGTACATTGGCGTTGTTGGCAGGCTTGTGCAACGTATGATCATATAATGTGACTAAATCCCCATACTTTTCATAATTAGTGCTTAGCTATGTTTCCTCTTGTTTTACCTTGTATTTCTTGTTTTATTTAGTCTTTGTAACAGAACTATGCTTTTGCCTATGCTTTTTGCCTGGACTTAGATAACAACGCTGCTGGATGCATTACACAAAAACCGAATGGGCTGAAATTTGGACGTATTGTTCCCCTGAGTGAGAGCTATCAAGCGGTGCTGGACTTAAAGGTGTACCCCCTGTTTTTGGGGTACATCCAGAATGTGGTTAAAATTGTGTCTGTTTTAATTATGTTATATGTTATCTGAGGGGAGGAGACGTGGGGGTTGAACCATGTATCTAATTGGCTGTTGTGTTAATTATGTGGGTGTAGCCTTTCAGAGGGCACTATTGCATAAAAGGAGACCCCTGTCAATAAACATCAGTTCAACTTGACCCTTCAAAACGTAGCCTCATCTTGTTCTTGGAGGGGATTTATGGTACCATTACTCTGCCTCATTTTACAGCGCTGCCGGATTATACACTTGGATATCGTGGATGGGAATAAGAACTCCATTACTTCACAGCAGCTTGCCTAGAAAAGGACGTCTCCAACGGCAGATACCCCTCTCCAGCTGGGTAGCCGTTACATTGGTGGCAGCGGCGGGATGGTCCTTTTCATCCCCAAAGCAAGTGCTGAATAGAATCCCAGTACGCTAAACTGAAAAGACCCACACTAAAGGATCTATTGGAAACCAGAGGAAGGAGTGCCAGCAACCGACCACGGAGAGAGCTGTTAGCTGACCTACTGGAGCTGGACGAGATGGATCGATCCATGGAGGTCGCGGACCAACCTACCCCTGTCAGCGAGGAGGAGGAAATTACAAATCTTGTTCTTGCGGAGATTATCCATGTACCCAGCAACATCCGTGGAACTAATAGATCAGCTGTTCCGGGAAGCAAGAACGGAGATACAAAATAGAAGGGGACACGAACTGGAGCTGGCAAGAGCTAGACAGCCCATTGCACATAAAGTTCATACTCCCCCACCCGCTGCTACAGGGCAGAAAATACCGTTCACTGCGTTTAAAGCGTTTGTGGAAAGTGAGGAAGAGATTGACGGGTATTTGGCTGACTTTGAGAGGCAGTGCTCACTACACCAGATACCACCAGACCAATGGGTCACTATTTTTGCTGGAAAGCTATCAGGAAAAGCAAATGAGGCTTTTCGGGCGCTTACTGAGGAAGATATTGCACAGTATCGACGGGTGAAGGCTGCACTGCTCACCAGATATGCCGTCACCCCGGAAACGTATCGCGGTCGCTTCAGGGAGTCTAAAAAGAAGGCTGCAGACTCCCACATGGAATGGGCAACCAGGATACAAAGGGTGGCATCACATTGGGTACGAGGGTGCAATGCCAACACCGGAGAGGAAGTACTACAGCTATTCTTAATGGAACATTTCTTCCAAGATCTGGCTGCGGACATACAGGATTGGGTGAGAGATCGCCGCCCTGCTAACTTAATCGAGGCAGCACGGCTAGCAGACGAATACGCAGAGTCAAGAAAGGTGAGCCAGGGGACCACACGACCAACACCTAGAGCAGAGCCATGCACCCCAACGCCCGCTGCACGCACAGAATTTCGGGCCCCAGTACCCCCAGGGCCTCCGCGTCCTCAGGGGTCTAACAACCAACCCCGGGATTCTTACAAAATTACGTGCCATCGCTGCGGCAACACGGGGCATATTGACCGTTATTGCCCCTTGGGATCAGCCAATAACAACTGGAGACGCTCAACCAATAACACAGAGACCCCACCATCACGCACCTCTGCTGCTCACTGCCTGGAAACCGAAGGGAGCCCTGAGGAGTGTTTGGGCATCCTGTACGAGGCAAACCCCATACAAGCTGCATCCCCAGATAACCACCAGCATCACCGCCAGGAGGTGCGTGTAAATGGATAGGTAGCACAAGGCCTAAGGGACACTGGCGCTACCATCACTTTGGTGCAGAAACATCTCGTGAAACCGGAGCATGTATCTAACCGTACTGTTGCTGTCCGTGTCGCAGGGGGGGCTGTTTTTCGCTTACCCACCGCCCGGGTACACTTGGATTGGGGAGTCGGGTCGGGAAAGACCACAGTAGGAATCATGGCCAATTTACCTGCTGAAGTCGTGTTGGGCAACAACATTGGCCCTCTAGCTTCAGCTTATTTACCCACGATTGCTGCTGCTTGTCCCGTGACCACCCGCTCACAGACCCATATCGAGGAAGATCCTCCAGCAGGCCGGGAGACCCAGGTAAGCCACAAGCAGACACTCAGCCCTAACACAGCAGAAAGACCCATAGCTTGGGACACCCCAGAAGAGTTTGGGAGGGAAACTAGAAAGGACCCCACCCTCCAAAAATATCAGGAATTAGCCGACAGTGGGGGGGATGAGCGGGAGCGTTTTATATGGGAGGGTGACAGATTATACAGGTTGACCCAAGGTAGGAGGAGAGGCTGTATCCCTTCGCAGAAGCGCCAACTAGTGGTACCCAGAAAGTACCGGTTGGAACTTCTCCGAATTGGACATGACATTCCGTTGGCAGGGCACTTAGGGGGTAACCGCACCGCCTACAGGATCATACAGACCTTTTTCTGGCCTGGGATTTTGAAGGACGTGCGGTGTTACTGCAGTACCTGCGACACATGCCAACGAGTAGGGATCACCCTAAAGCTCGACTGTCACCCATGCCCGTGATCGAGGAACCGTTTAGCCGAGTGGCAGTCGACCTAGTGGGACCCTTACCTAACCCTAGCCCCTCGGGTAAGAAATATATTCTTACAGTAGTGGACTATGCTACCTGCTACCCAGAGGCCGTCGCTCTGACGAATATCCAGGCTGACACTGTCGCCAGTGCTCTAGTCTGGATATTCACCAGAGTGGGATTCCCTCAGGAAATCCTATCTGACCGAGGGACCCAGTTCACCGCAGACCTAACTCAGCAGTTATGGAAGGTCTGTGGTGTCAAGACCCTGCTCAGCTCCCCGTACCACCCTCAGACTAACGGTCTCTGTGAACGCTTTAATGGTACCCTAAAGCAATTGCTGCAGACCTTTACGGCGGAATACAGAGACTGGGAGCGATTCTTGCCGCACCTCTTGTTTGCATATCGAGAGGTGCCCCAGGAATCCACAGGGTTCTCTCCCTTCGAGCTGCTCTATGGACGACGAGTGCGAGGCCCCCTCGACCTCATCCGAGAGCACAGGGAGGGAGAGATAGAACATGAGGGGGTTCCTATCGTACCTTATGTGCTGGAGATGCGGGACCGCATGGGGCACTTAGCCAGGATGGCCCGAGAACATCTTCAGGCAGCCCAGGGCCGTCAGAAACATTGGTACAATCGGGGCGCCTGGTTGAGAACGTTCCAAGTAGGTCAGAAAGATCTGGTACTTAGACCTGTCAAGGGAAACAAACTACAGAACTCCTGGCAGGGCCCTTACAAGGTAGTGGCCCAGATATGTGACACCACCTATGTAATTGCCAGTAGCCAGGACAAAAGAGTCCAGAAGTCCTTTCATGTCAATTTATTAAAAAAATAACCAAGAAAGGCCCGAAGATATAGCGGCCATATGTATCCCGGCCACTGAAGACCCTGACAGTCTTCCCATCCCAGATCTGTTAGCTGACTCCGAGCCTAAAACTCTGCTCAATACAGTGCAGCTAGGGGAGCGGTTAACTCCCACAGAAAGGGAACAACTCCAACAATTGCTAGCTGAGAAAGGATTGACGTTCTCTCAGGAGCCAGGTTACACACCCTTAGCGACACATTATGTGGAGACCCCAGGACAAACCTCTCTCAGACAGACTCCCTATAGAATCCCGGAGGCCGTAAAAGAGGAGATGAGAAAGAAGATTCAGGAGATTTTAAAACTGGGAGTTAGAGAGCTGTCCAACAGCCCCTGGGCATCCCCAGTTGTCCTAGTTCCCAAAAAGGACGGAACGACCCGGTTCTGTGTCAATTACCGACGCCTCAATGACCAGACCGTGACAGACGCATACCCCATGCCCCGAGTAGACTAACTATTAGATCGTATTGCCAGGGGACACTATCTGACCACCATCGATCTGTGCAAAGGGTACTGGCAGATTCCCCTGGCCAAGGACGCTATCCCTTGTTGGCGTTTGTCACCCCGTTTGGCTTATACCAGTTTAAGGTCATGCCATTCGGGATGAAAAACGCCCCAGCTACATTTCAGCGCTTAGTGGATCGTCTCCTTGATGGCTCCCAGGAATTCGCGTGCGCATACCTGGATGACATTGCGATCTATAGTGAGACTTGGGGAGAGCACTTAAGACATGTAGAGGCTGTGCTGGATCAGATTAGGGCCACAGGCCTAACTCTGAAACCAGAGAAATTTAATTTCGGAATGGCCGAAGTACAGTACTTGGGACACAGGGTAGGGTGTGGGAAACAACGACCAGAACCCGCTAAGGTGGAAGCTGTAGCCAACTAGCCCACACCCCACACCAAGACCCAAGTACTGGCATTCTTAGGGACTGCGGGATATTACATGAAATTTGTCCCTGACTACAGCGCCATCGCTAAACCCCTTGACAGATTTGACAAAGAAAAATTTGCCTAGAGTAGTCCTGTGGTCTCCTGCCTGCAAAACAGCGTTCCAAACCCTGAAACAAGCCCTGATCAACGCACCGGTTTTGTCTGCCCCCGTCCCAAACAAAAGATTTGTCGTCCATACAGATGCGTCCATATACGGACTGGGGGCAGTTCTGAGCCAGGTCGGGGAAGATGGAGGGGAACAACCTGTCGCGTACCTGAGTAGAAAACTATTGCCCAGGAAAGTGAGCTACGCGGCAGTGGAAAAAGAGTGTCTAGCCTTGGTCTGGGCTCTAAAGAAGCTCACACTATACCTGTACGGTCAGGAATTCACTTTGATCACAGACCATAACCCCCTAGTATGGCTGAACTGAGTGGCTGGGGACAATGGACGATTACTAAGATGGAGCTTGGCCCTACAACCATACAACTTCTCCATTCAATATCGCCCTGGCCAGTTCAATGGGAATGCAGACGGACTGTCCAGGCAAACGGAACTTTTACCTTAACCACAGACCGGATAGCGTCAAGTTGACCCGAAAAGGATCAATCCGGGTCTGCCGGAGTGTTCCACAAAAGGGGAGCAGTGTAACAGAACTATGCTTTTGCCCATGCTTTTTGCCTGGACTTAGATAACAACGCTGCTGGATGCATTACACAAAAGCTGAATGGGCTGAAATTTGGACATATTGTTCCCCTGAGTGAGAGCTATCAAGCGGTGCTGGACTTAAAGGTGTACCCCCTGTTTTTGGGGTACATCCAGAATGTGGTTAAAATTGTGTCTGTTTTAATTATGTTATATGTTATCTGAGGGGAGGAGACGTGGGGGTTGAACCATGTATCTAATTGGCTGTTGTGTTAATTATGTGGGTGTAGCCTTTCAGAGGGCACCATTGCATAAAAGGAGACCCCTGTCAATAAACATCAGTTCTACTTGACCCTTCAAAACGTAGCCTCGCCTCGTTCTTGGAGGGGATTTATGGTACCATTACTCTGCCTCATTTTACAGCACTGCCGGATTATACACTTGGATATCGTGGATGGGAATAAGAACTCCATTACTTCACAGCAGCTTGCCTAGAAAAGGACGTCTCCAACGGCAGATACCCCTCTCCAGCTGGGTAGCCGTTACAGTCTTGTAATCCCAGTCTATGTAAGAGTCCTGTCCAGTCATGCCCATGTTATGTTCTTGTTTTCCTCATGTCTTGTGTGCATGTTCTAGGTTATGTTTTCTGTCCTGTTCTGGGTTCTCTAGTCTTGCCTTGTTCTCCTAGTTTTGCCTTGTTTTCATGTATGGTGCCTATCTCTAGTCTTGCCTTGCTTCAGTACTGGATACATCCCTGCTGCAGAGCCTCCCTATTCAGGTCCTGGGAGGTCTGCTTAATTACCTGCTCCTAGTTCCTAGGATCCGCATAAGCTGAATCAGGGTTTTGGTATGTGGCTGCACAAACGCTGGTGCTCATCCTGCTAATCCACCTCCACACTGTGACTCCTACTCTGAACATCAGGCACTCAGGGGTCCCGGTCCACGCACCGCCGCCCGGTCAGTGTCTGGGTCCCGGGCACCGGACCGCCACCCTGACAGATATGGAGTGTGCCGCTCATTAACCCAGTTCACACTTCCATAAACCGAAACCACACGGACGTTCTAAGCAGTCGGCTGGGTGGTCGCCGTTCGTATAGACAAACCCGTGGCTGCGGCCATCTTGAACACGAACAAAGGCAGCAGGGTTTAGTCGTCGAGTGCATGGAACTAAAATCGGACACTCGACAGCGCGAACATCGCTGGGACTTCCACCTCCACCTGGGACTTCCACCTCCACCTAATCTTGTAAAATATGTGGTATTCCTGCCTGGAGATAATTGAGTTGTTACATTATCTACCTCAATTATCTACCAGGCAGAGGGGAGAGCTTGTACATACTGTATGGGAGTGTCTTCATGTTCAACACTGTTCCACTGGCTTGTTAACTTTGTGTCCTGGTGCCCCACAAGGTCCACCTAGGCGTCTCCCTGTTGGGAAAATCACATAAAAGGCAGTGTGCCTCCATTAAAAACTAGTTATTCCTCCAAAACTAAGTGTCGTCCACTTACTGGGGAGGTGTTGGGAGAATCTTGGCTTGCCTTGCTGTATTTAGCTGTTCCCTTGGAGTAACTTCTTTGTTCATGAGTACATCTTGGAGGAACCAGCAGAGAAGAGGGGACACTGAGACGCTAGGGGACACTGTGAGACATGGGGACACAGATACACATGTGGACACTGAGACATGGACACACACACACATGGGGACACTGAAACACTAGGGGACACTGAGACACTAGGGGACCTGGGCAAACAGACACCCATGGTGACACTGAGAAATGGGTACACAGACACTTGGGGACACTGGGAGACATGGAGACACAGACACTAGGGACAGTGCCCCATGTCTCTCAGCCAGTGTCCCCATTTCTCAGTGTTACAATGTGTGTCAGTGTGCCCATGTCTCCCAGTGTGCCTAGTGTCTGTGTCCCTAGTGTCTCAGTGGCCCTAGTTTCCAAGTATTCTTAGTGTCTGCAAGTGTCTGTGTCCCCATGTCTCCCAGTGTCCCCATGTCTCTGTGTCCCCGGGAGATATGGGGACACTGGGAGACATGGGGCACTGAGACACTGTGATACATAGTCTCAGTGTGCCCATGTCTCCCAGTGTGCCTAGTGTCTGTGCCCCTAGTAGCTCAGTGGCCCTAGTTTCCAAGTATCCCTAGTGTCTTCGTGTCTGTCAGTGTCTGTGTCCCCATGTCTCACAGTGTTCCCTAGTGACATGGGGACACTGGGAGACATGGGGACACAGACACTAGGGGACACTGGGTGACTGGGAGACAGGGAGACACTGGGGGCAATCCATCTATACAGCAGAATCAAACTAAGTTAGTTTTTTTGTGATATCACATAATTTCTCTATCACTCCCTGTGATTTACATTATGTGATGTCACACATACATAATTAGTTATGCAAATTAGTAAGGCCTGTATTTTTTTCCAA